CTCGAGGTCCACTTTCCTGCAGAGTTTAGCTCCAACCTGAACAAGCTAATCAAGGTCTTCAGGATTACTAGAAATTTATTGGCAGGTGAGTTTTATCAAAGTTGGAGCTAAACTCTGCAGGAATATGGACCAGAGTTGAGAACACCTGGCCTAAAGGGTGCAAATTAGCACCTTACATGTACACATTTGGCAGACACTTTTATCCAAAGCAACTTACCTTGTATACAAGGTAGACATTTTATCAGCTCATGTATTACCACTGGCCATCCGTCAAGAGTGTTTCAATGCCTTCGGCAGAAGACCCTGGGATAGGCTCCAGCATCCCTGCAACCCTACATGGGACAAGCAGGTTGCAGAATAGACGGTTGTATTCCCTGGAAATCAAACCCATGACTTAGGTGATGCTAGCATCATGTTCTACTGTTTGAGATAAAGAAACTACAAATATGCATCATTTAGGAGTAGAAAAGGTTCAAAGGTGTTCCTGTGATTGTACTACCCCAGTGACAAGCTGGTGTACCTCTAAAGGTTCGATTTTCCCACATTTTTCTGACAGTGTGTGGTTGTAAAAAATCCCATGGTGTTTCTTGTTAAGAGTAGATGTGTGACTTTTGGTGTCCTGGTCAAATTGACCTTTGGTTTCAGTAGCAGTATCCACACAAATGCTATAAAATTGTAAGGAAGTAATTTTACCACTCCTTTGCTTTCCTCTGTTTCTTTTGTGTTCAATCACTTGTGTTCTTTCTCTCTGTGTAACATGTTAGTGGCCCTTTGACAGATGGCTGGCATTGAATTTGTTTGCTATGACGGGCATGTCTAGTCAAACAGGAAACAAGTTGAGATAACGATCACATTATGCTGTCTCCAGTATGCACTTTGGTAAAATATCATTTTGGTAATTCATCTGGAAGTCTATCAATGTATACCTGTACTAATGCACAATAAATAGTTTAGTCTCTATTGATGTTGCTGCAGGTGACATTGAAGTCGAGAGTTACTCAGACGACTGTTGTTCTCTAAGAAGAACAACTGTCCAACCACTTTCTCACCAACACCACCAACTCTGGAATGAACAATGTTACTGACACAGCCGTGAGACATAGCCCTCGATCAATCACAGGAGCTCTGATCCTCTGCCTTTTCCTACCTATTGGTGTCTCTGGAAACCTCTTGATCATTTGGAGCATCCTGGCCCGTACCCGCCACTGTTCCATCACAACCCTCCTGATCCTAAACCTAGCCTTTGCAGATGAATTCTTGATGTTTTTGATGCCTTATTTCATTGTTTATTTGTTAAGACGCAACTGGATTTTTACCCTGCCACTTTGTAAGATTCTGATGTACCTCTGCAGTGCCAACATGTACGCTTCAATATTTTTGATAACGCTAATGAGTCTGCACAGGATGGTGGCTGTAGTTTGGTGGAAACATGCTGGTGTGCTGACAGACCGGAGGGTGATCATTCGGGTGTTGATAGGGCTGTGGATTTTTGCTTTGGGAATATCAGTACCTAACTCTGTTTTCTGGACCACTTTCTGGAGTGAGCAAGAGCCAAAGTTTTTAATGTGTGCTTGTAAACATCCACTGCCCCAAGATGTGAGTTATGTTTGCCGGATAAACATTTACAAACTAATACTATTTAGTAACAATTAAAAAGAATAGTAACTCAATGTATGCATATAGCAATGTGGGGCAGTATATGTGAAAGTAGCAATACTAACTTAACTATGTTTAAACCACAGTAGCTCAGATGTTCACTGTTGCTTTTCCAATAACTAGCTATTTTTAGTAGTGATGTAGTGTGTCAAAATGCTATATTACTGTTTTAAGTTTAAAAAAATTACAACTGAATTGCACATGTAGCCGCACAGCTAAGCTTTCTGATGCAATGGTCCAATTTTAGCTTCTGTGTTTTAGAGCGGAATTGTCATAGAAGGGAAAACACTACAGTAAACTCCACTACAATGTCTTTTCCTAGTCTAAAGACAAAAATCAATGTTAATGACACAATGTTAATGTCTGCTCTAGCTATAAACACACATAAGGCCTAGTAGAAAGTGGAAACTAGCTAGCTAGCAAGAAACCTGGTAGAAGCAGAGGCATCATGGTTTATCTATCTATAATGCATTCCACTTCAGTGAACTCAGAAGTGTGAAAAGGGTCTGTGATCAAACACAATATACTAGAATGTCTCACTCTTTCAATTATAACTAGCTAATAGTCCATTAGTAATCGGACTGATAGCTCAGTCAGACTGAAAGAGGCTTCATGCAAACACCTCAATCTATCCATTTGAGCTCAATTTTAATTACATTTCCATTGGATTGAAAAGTTTGGTGTAATCCTGAAATAATACCACCAACAGGAAAAAAATGCTCAGTGGTCGATACTGAATATTTACTAAATATTAGATAAAAGCTCATGGGAGATTTATACGTCAGCTTTCTTTTTAGATATCAAAGCAAAAATGATTATTATACTCACAGTAGCTCCGGTTATATTATCGCACTCTCGTATCGTACAGTTTTGAACGTGCTGACTAAGCACTGCACATGTGCTGAATTTTAATGTAATGCACATGATTATGTGAATCAGGTTGCGTGGTTTAGAGTTTATAAAAAACAGAACTTTCAGAATTTGAAATCGGATTGGCGAAAATTAGTGCATGTAAAAATACCTACTGAGAAGTCTTAATCAATCATCAATAATCTGAAAAATATCTCAAAATTAAACTACCTATGAGATGAAATTATGTTTATTAATTATTCGCATGCTGTCATATATGACCTTACTCTGTTTTAGATGATACTGCAGCACTGTTTGGAAGTTCTGCTGGGTTTCTTGATGCCGTATGGACTGAGCAGTTACGTGTGTATCCTGTGCAGAATTCGCAAGACACGGTTTCGTAGGCATATCCGAAGTGAGAAACTCATCCTGGTGATTGTCATCACCTTTGGCTTGACCTGGCTTCCTTTCCACACCATGAATATGGTGGAGGTGTGTGTGCACAGCTTGACTGAAACACATCAGTCTTTGGGGGGTAAATTAAGCAACTACCGGTAATTTACATTCAGAGGCTTCAGCTCCATTATCACCTTATTCAGCAGCTGCATAAACCCTGTTCTCTACACCTTTGCTGGAAAGTCATACATTAAACGTGAAGGCCTGGCCTTCATGGCACGGCTGTTCGAGGATTCAACACTGCAAAAAAATGGCTTATCTTACTTAGTATTTTTGTCTTGTTTCTAGTCAAAATATCTCAAATATTTCATTCTTAAATCAAGATACTTTTACTAGATAAGCCAAATGACTTAAGATATTTAGTCTTGTTTCCAGGGGGGGGAAAAAAACTAAATTAAGCGCATTTTTGCTTAAAACAAGTAAAATTATCTGCCAGTGGGGTAAGTAAAATACTCTTGTTTTAAGAATATTTTACTTACCCCACTGGCAGATAATTTTCGAGTCCATGCGAAAGAACCGGCAGAATCAGAAAAATCAGGATCAAGAGAAGAAAGAAGAGGTTGATCATCTAAAAGACAGAGTCTGATTTCACCACAAGCTATTATGCTGATTTGAACATTTGAGAAATGGGAAGGAACATGTTGGGCTTGTTTTTGGGTCTTGGCATTTTTCTTTATACATTTGTATATATTAGACTGAATGATGCTGTTACTGGGAAACAAAAGGGCAAGTTCACGTAAGTGAACTTACAGAACCACTTTCTTTAAGATAAATTTCATTTTGTTTGATAATTTGTTATATAATGCAAATACATTTTTAAGTTGGTCTCAAGACTTAGGTTCGGTTTTTATCCAGTAGATGGCGCCACACAACAGAGAGACAAAGGCCTATACAAACAACTCAGAAAGAGGCTAGTAGAGCAGTAGAAATGTTTGTCATTATGACAAAATTCACTATTTTTAATTGTTGTTCTAGCTTTGAGCAAAACCTTACTATATTTTGTTGTTTATGCTTTGAACGATTTGCTATTCTGAAAACAATTGCCTTCTTTGTTAAATGTATCTTGTTTTAGGGATGTTAAACACTTTTGCAAACATGCTTGTGGTGCAAACTGTATGTTTGACATACAAGTGTGCTAAGAGCACATCTGCGACTTTCCCTGAGGATTTTGTATATAGAGGTAAATGTGATTTTGCCAAGTAGGACATGTTTTCTAGATCAACAACTTTGTTGGTCCTGGAACAACATCCCTATCAATCAGACTTCAAGGTTGGGTTTAGAGTTAGGCATGAGTTAAGGACTTGAACTCTATTTTGATCAACTTATTTTCCTCTGGTTTTAGGGCTAGGTTATGGTTTAAGTTGGTATGGTGTGGTATTCAGGTTAAGACTCTTCTTTGACTGAAATGTTTGTTTGTTTTTGCCTGTGAAACTTCCTGTAAGATTTTAGAATGGAAGTTCACGATTTGTTAATATAATAAATGAAGACACCTGAAGAGACTTCACATTTTATTCTACAATAAAAATTTATGTGATGTTTGTGCACATTTTTATATGTTTTGTTTAGTGCACATTGTGCACAAACATTATTTAAATGACGTGCTATCAGGAATTAACAAATCACATTTGATTAATAATGTGTGGTTCTAATTTAAACATGAAACAATACATAAGGAATACAAAATACCTTTAATATTGCCAAACACTACATGACCAAAGAACTAATTCTTTCACTAATTCAAAGAACACAGAATTAAGTCAGGAACATACTGACAGGCTTGTTTGTCCTTTAGGTACAGCAAAAAAAATGTTTCTTATCTTTCAGTCTCATTCTGTTATAAAATAAGAACAATGCAATTCATTCAGCAAGAATGTAATGGCACCAAACGAAAGAACCAAAGAAAGATGTAACAATTCAGCTAGTAGACAATAATCACAAATGTTACAGAAAGTGAAAAGTGACTTTTGGACCTGTTTGTCATTTATATGACTGTTGCTTGTTCTTCCGTTATGACAGAAGAAAATGAGGCAGCTTGAATTATTTTTCTTAAAAGAAACATAATAAAACAGGCAATTATAAGTAATACAAAGGCAATGATAGTAGCATATCTTGTCCTATGAAGGACAGGGAATGGATTCTCCACACTGTCTGCTCCTGTATCTTCTCCTTGGCTTTCTTGTTCAATGGATTTGTTTCCTTTTTCTGCTGTTGATTCTGCAACAAAACAGTAAAGAAAAAACTAAATCACTGCAGTGTGATAAAAACAACAGATCAGTCATTCATTTATATGCAGCAGCATTCAGACTGGAACATCACTAGCTGGTCAAATACTCATTGTATTCAGAATTTATAAAACATTTTAATTAAAATTAGCATACATTAATTCAACCAACCAGTTTACACACCATTGATGAGCAACAGAACAGTAGGAAGATCAGATGAGCATGTGATGTAACAGATGTATTTTCCTGCGTCTGTGTGTTGAAGATTGTTGAGTTTGATGGAGAAGTTTCCTCTCTTATATTCCTTTGGGAACGTTTCAACTCTGTTCTTGTACCGTGGGTCCTGTCCCAATTCTGAATCTTTACCCTTGATTATACTATATACAATATCATCATTATTGCGTCTCCAATGCACATCACTGTCTTGAAGTTTATGATCATCTTTGGAAGAACATGGAAGGACAACAGAACTGCCAATAACACCCTCTACTGTGACCTGCAGAGACACTGAAATCATACTTTTATTGTAAAGTCAGTCATTTATACATGCACAATTAATTTAACTCTCAAATGTAGTTTTGTTTAGTTGCTCACCTGTGTTTATCCACAATAAAATTACACAGACGATGCAGCAACTGCAGAAACAAAGGATACAAAAACAGTAGATTATACTAGTAGTGCCAACATGAGTTTGATTCCCATGTAACACAAATGAGGTAAGATGTTCTCCCACCTTCTCAGTATGTTTATTAATAAAGGGAAATACTCTTAAAAATGTTGTTACATGATCACACATTTAGTCATTGGAAAACACTTGTGTCTGTGAATTTATTTTATGTGGATATTAATGTTTATACAGTATGCTTGAGATTTTGTGTTTATTTGTCAATGGAAGGTTTGAGGTTTGCAGGTGGTAATCACAGGAAAGGAGTCAAGACTGAGGAAATAATGAGGTGAACAATGAGGACGGTAGACAACCAGTGTGTTTGTGTGTGAGCTTGAAACAATCCTTGATGAAGAGATGATTGACAATGAGTGATCAGCACAGAGAGTATGGTGTGACATGCTGGTGAGGGAGAACAGAGGGAAACCGTGACAGTAGCCGAGGACCCAGGATGGCACAGTTGGTCTGAAGGGCAGAACTCAGGCGGAGCCTGGTGCTTGGAAGACCGTAGTCGAGTCGGAGTGATTGAGGACAATAGTGGAGTCGAAGGGAAGGCGGAACCTGGTGGGGCCGAAGGGGTAGAGGGCTGAGAAGCAGCCAGAGGCCTGGAAGCCCGTGGTGGATCCAGGGTGATGCCCAAGGCATCAAGGCAGAGCTGGAGGAATGATAGAGCCGATGAACTCGATGAAACCAGCGGGGTGAAGGAGCTTTGAATGGCCAAAACAAGGAAACTTGGGATGGCCCCCATGGCTGAGATGATGAAAACTTGGAACAGCCTCTATGGCCAAGTTAACTTGGGATGGCCTCTGTGGCCAAGACAAGGAAGCTTAGGGATTGGACGGAACCAATGGAGATGAAAAGGCTTGAAGGTTGGATGAAATCAACAGGAGAGGAAGGACTCCAAGAAGAACCAGGACATCAAGCCAGCAGGACTTGACCGGCAGAGGAGAAAGAGGTTAGAGGGCGGAGACAAGTGTGGGAACTGGCTCTGTGGCATGCAGGTCAATAAGCCACTCTAGCTCAACTGGGTGGCAGGCTCAGGCTCTGGGACAGACATTGTGGCAGGCTCCTCTACATCTTTGGCATGGGCTCTGGGTCTGTGGCAGGTATGGGCTCTGGAATGTGAGGAAGGTCAGTGCTGGACGATGGCAGTTTCAGAATTGGAGCAGGTGTGGTGATGAGTACTGAAGGTGACAGTGGTTCTGGGAAGAGTGGCAGTAAGCTCCTCCACCGCACCCAAGGTGTATGATGATCCACATACCCATAGGGTGTTATCAATTAATTCCACCAGTGGCCGATGACCCTTATTCATAAGCAGCATCTGGTAGAGGATGTAATCTAAGTATTTGAGAGCTTCATCATTCAATCATGACTTGTGATACAGTTCCAAAAACTCCTCCACATACTCCTCCAGTGAGCAGACATTTTGTAGCAGACAGTCCTTGTGAGTTGAACATGAAAACCCCAACTGAATTCACTGGTGAGGGCCGCTATTCTGTCACAGACTTATGGCAGGACAGAAGGTGAGGGAAAAGAGAGGGAACCTGTGACATTGTTCTGACTTCTAAATGAGATACAAATCTGAACAACTAGTGAACCTAGCTGTTGCTCAACAGCTTTTTCCCCCAGGCTGTGAGAGCCCTGAACTCAAATCACCCCGCCCTCCTCTGAAACCCCACACAAACCCCCTACCTCCTGAAACATGGACCATCTCACCTCCTCCACCCCCCAACCTTACCACATCACTTTATTTTACACTTTTAAACTTTATTTTACACAAAGGTGCTACACAAAGGTGAGTGGGCCTGTACAGACCACCTGTAGTAACACACTCTCCTCTATGCGCACTACACACTTTTCACACAAACTGCTGTGTGTACATAATCCCACAAAAGACTCAGTAATATGTTTACATGCTCATGCACTACAAATCATCTTGCACTGTTCCCCAGCAAGCTGAATTAGATATACATCTTAATTTATCATAACCGATAGACCAACTGAGTTGAATCATTCAATCAGAATACATAGTTTATTGCTATTATAACAAATCTGCCAAATAATATATTATTATTTTGTTGTTGTTTTTGTATTTGTATTTTTTTCGTTTATGTATAGGTAAACATTTATATATAGTATATTTATAATCAAAATCTGTCAGTAGGTTAGTTTTGTATAGTTATGTACTGTTTTACTTCATTGTTGCATGTCTGTATTTATGTAGCACCGTGGTCCTGTAAAGGCACGACACTTCGTTCCACTGTATGTCCCCACATGTAGCGGAATGACAATAAAGCTCAACTTGAATACATCATTTTACAACTAAATTAACACATATATCCAATAATTACCGTTAATAATATATTAAATGTTGTATCACTTACATTTACATTTAGTCATTTAGCAGACACTTTTATCCAAAGCGACTTAAAAATGAGGAGAACAATAGAAGCAATCAGAGCAACAAGAGAGCAACAATATTCAAGTGCTGCTACAAGTCTCAGACAAGCCTCAAAACTGTTAAGGATGAATTAATGATAAATTAATAATGTATTAATGATGCTTAAATGATTTCTGTCTTATATCTAGTGTAAATAAAGCATTTGACCATCAGATGCAGATACAAACAACGTACTCAGGCCTTCAATTATACCGGAGAACACATGTTCTTTAAGAAATCATGAAATATACCTGATAATCATGGTGCCCATTCTGCCCAATAATATTAATATGTGTATATTAATATTAATATGTATATATATATTGCATATAAATATGACTGAAATAAATATTAAATACTAATTCAAACAACAGAGTATCATCAGAGCTTTCCCGTCAGCAAGCCATGCTGTCCTCTGACTACTTCCGACGCAACCACGTGAATGATCAGACATGCGCAGATATTTGCTAATCGTACTCAAATTTACTTCAGTATATTCAAGACTCCTGAGACAGAAGTTCACTTTCTTCTACTCTTCTACTCAATCTTCACTATTAGTAGTACTAAATAATAATAATAATGATAATAATAATAATATTCTCTGCCATCAGATCTCCAAAGATCTCTTTTCATGACTTAAGTAAAAAAAAAAAATCATTTTAAATTTGAAGTGTGTGTGTGTGTGTGTGACCCTGGACCACAAAACCAGTCTTAAGTGTCAATTTTTCTAAATTGATTTATACATCATCCGAAAGCTAAATAAGCTTTCCATTGATGTATGGTCTGTTAGGATAGGACGATATTTGACCGAGATACAACTATTTGATTATCTGGAATCTGAGGGTGCAAAAAAAAAAACTAAATAAAGTTGTCCAAATAAAGTCCTTAGCAGTGCATATTACTAATCAAAACTGAAGTTTTGATATATTTACAGTAGGAAATTTATAAAATATCATCATGGAAAATGATCTTTACTTAATATCCTAATGATTTTTGGCATAAAAGTTGAGAAAATTATTATTACATTTTTCTCTTCTGACCAGTCAATCTCTGGGTCCATTAAGTTATACATATAGGCATCCTTACGTGTGATGTGATGTGACCCTGGCTTTTTGACTTTAGTGAAATGAACAAGAATAAAAGTAATAATGAGTAAATTTAATCAGTAACTTACATGAGTTAGAGAATGAAGCTTCCTTTCATTGACTCCTCTGAGAAAATGTTCTGGTGTCAGGTTTCTCAAGTGAATAATTTCTGTAAATTATGGGGTTTTTTTATGTTCCTGAATCATTGTGCCTTTGATACACTGCTTTATCTTAACTTTATAGTTTAATGTTATTGTATAATCTGGACCAGATCACAAAGCTTCCAGTTATATCCTCATATTTGAGCTGCTTTGCTTGATATTAACAACACTGACCGATGCAGTTGAACAAATAGAATACTGAATAGAATATAACTATAGATACCTGCATTATGCATTTAATTATTAATTTATTTTCATACCTGAGCTGTGCCTCATAGTTCCTTCGTGACAAACTGCATTGTGAAGACACTGTAATATTCTGGCAAAACTGGTTAGTTGTCAGTTGGGAGGGTGAGTGGGCAGATCATGTGTTTAGTGACAAACAAATGATAACATTTGACTGTTGTCTTTTGTTGTTGGTTTGAGTCTCATTTATAACCTGCAAAGGAATTGAAAGAGACAGAACTGAAAACAGCAGGCACATATTGTGTGGCTTTTTCATTAATTTTCCTTTCAAATGTTGTTATAACTATGAAAAGTTCCCTTTTTTTTACACTGAAAAGTCACCTGCATTGAGTTAACCAGTGTATAAACATGGTAACAATTTAAACGTTTTTTTTTTTTTAAGCCATTTTGGGTTATGAGGACAAAGGAAGTGTTCTCATAAACCAAATGACAAACAACAAAACATACAAAATTGTGTTTTTGGAAATTCAAAAATGTCAGAAGCTGTGAGGGTTATGTTTAGTTGAAGGTATAGGTTTAGGGAATAAAAAAATCAGTTTATACAGTAGTTCTGTTGACCTTAATGTCTCCTTTCTCATAGTCATCTGGGAAAGTTTCTGTTCTGTTGTTGTATCATGAGACTTCATTCTGTAGTAAATGACTTGGGAATTTTATCACACACAATCTTGCTGTCATTGCGTCTCCAGCTCACATCAGAGAAGTCTTGAAGTTTAAGATCATGTTCAGTGGAGGAACCACTGAAACACCAATAACAACATTATTTAATATAAAACATTAATGCTTGGTGTGAGAAAACCATAAATACCTTGACTGAAAAATCAGAACATTTGTGTAGTTTGTATTACTGCATTGTTGTGTTTTTGTATTATATAGGCTAGACAAAATACTAGTGACATTATGTTCTCATAGTGATCAGACTGGTTCTCAAATACATACTGTAGATGCGTCTCATTTAGTTTTGCAGAGGTGTGTCACATGATGTCAGTGTTTTGATGTTTTACATTCAAGGCCTGGAGTTACCATGGAGACACACGGCACCAGGATGCTGGAGATATAAACACTGTCACAAAAAGAGTCCAGTCCCATTTCTGTACAGATTTCTGGTGCTGAAATACAGCAGGGAATCCCAGGAGCAATCAAGGTGTCATTGGGCCCACAGAGAGCCTCAGTGCATGTAAAGAGCCCATTACCATGTCTTTTCACCCACAAAGTAAGCATTGTTAACCTGACTGTGACAAGTTATGTGCAAAATTCCTGCAATACTCAGCACAGAAGGAAGAATTTGTCTCGGGTGAGTGCACTGTGAGCAATAACTCTCATGTTGTGGAGGACATATGAAGAGTGGGCCTAATGGGATTTGTTTGGTGAGTCATTTATGACAAAACATTTACTTTTAGTGAAAATCGTATCATTTATAATTATTATAATAATATAATAATATGATATTATTATTATATTTTTGTTAAAAAAAACACATAGACTCTGTACAGGAAACATAAATGATTAGTTCACATTGCGAGTCTCAAGTCACTTCGATTGACTGTGTAAGTTGATGTTAGACCATTTGCTTCATTAATCACATTTGTTTACATCTGTGCTAGTAATACATGAGGGCTGCCAACCTTTGAGTTCAGCTTGGAGTAAAAAAAAAAAAAAACTTGGCGCTACACAGTGCTGCCTCCTCTTTCTTGTCATGGGTGTGTGGTGTGAGAACTGTGTGAGTTGCATGAGTCTCACGCTGAGTACATGAGAGTTGGCAGCCTTGTAATGTTTTGTTAACCCTTTTATTGTCTGCCACAATGAAGAACTCATGGTTACGTGTTTTCACTTCTATCTCTGTTTTGGGACTAATTGCATAAGGCCCTGGGTGAGCCTTAAGGAATTTTGGAGACATGTCTTTGTTTGTGATTTTGGGGACATGTCCAGGTTTTTTTTGACATCAGTAGTTGTCGATGCAGACCTTGTCGCCAGTTTATAGTGTATGTAATAAGCACAGTGCTGACAGACAATAAATCACTCGACACAGTGCATCTGTTCAACATACATTATTTTCTGAACTGTTTTTTAAAAGGAGCTTGAACAAAAACATTGTTACTGTATCACCACAAGGGGGCAGACTTTTATCACAGAAAGCTATGACACCCATAGATACAGTATATACATTACAGAGAATAAGCGGTATTGAGGATGGACAGGTGGATGGAGTTTAAAACCAAACTTTCCCAGAGGCGTATGAGAGATGAAAGTTCTCCCTCAAACTCAACAATCTCACTCATGTTGACGCAGGACAGTTCAGCTGCTCATCACACACTCATCTTATTCTAAACAGGAGACTGTACAACTGATCATTAACGGATCATTAACAAAATATACAATGTTTATTTAATGATCATTTGCAACTATATGCCATTTATTAAAAACAGGATTAAAAAAACAGGCTTATAATGCACTTAGTTGTTTTGTGTTGATCAAGAATAATGTATATATAGCCTACATTTTTAGCCCAGCCCAGGCAATGTTATAGCTATAAAAAAAAAAGAAAGATTCAGCTACAGTATTATTCTTCTTGTGTTTAATTGTTAGAAATC